TCTAGAGAGAGAAAGTGAAAATCAAAGAGATCTCTAGAGAGAGAAAGTGGTACAAACAAGTATTCTAGAGAGAGAAAATCGAATTATGGATCAAATCAAGGAAAAATGTGATTTCTAGAACACAAAACACTCTCTAAACACGAAGAACAATAAGAACATGAAGAATCACCAAATCTAGATTGCCACCATGGATCAATTATTAATCCAATCAAGAACACCAACTCTGATGCCAATTGTAGTGGTGTTGATTATGATGGCATATGCGGAATAAGAAAGATCTAGTAAATCATCATATAATATTAAGAACACATGAAGTAAATAAATATGGGTTTAGCTCTAACATTTTCAGGTTCCAACACAATGTTATTCCATACTCCAGTTATATTCTTTTTTTATAAATATTCGGTTGGCTTATTTTGAAGAAGATGGATTTCGGTTATGGTATGATACGACATGGAGGAGGGTTCGGTTTTCAACCTCCACCACCACTTGGCCATTAGAGCGATGTTTAAAGCCTGAATTGATCCGAATCCAAGTCCCCCATTATCTTTTGATGCAATAATCTTATCCCATGAAACCTATTGGGTTTTTTTGCTTATTTTCGTTACCTCCCATAGAAACCTTCTATGAATCTTCTCTAAGTTTTCGGTAACACCAATTGGTGCTTTGAAGAGTGATAGATAGCAACTAATTCTTTTTTAGGTTCATATTAGCTCCAACCGGAACACCTAGGTTGGTAAAACGTAATGCACCCGCCACACATCCAAAATGTTGGCCCATTGGGAGGTTTCATGATTGGAAGTACCAATGTCGAAGACTTTGGATTTGTAAAAGTTAACTCTTAGACCGGATGATACATGAAAGCACTTTAAAATACGAGCGAGATTTTTAAAGTTAGACCTGGACCATTCACTGACAAACAAAGCATCATCAGCGTAAAAGATATGAGAAATTAATGGTCCACTTCTTGGAAGCTGTACTCCGGTGTATATTCATTTTTCTTTTTTAGATTTCATTGTTATATTTAGGCCTTCCATAGCAATAATGAACAGAAATGACGAGAGTGGGTCTCCTTACCCTACTCATTTGGCTATGTCAAACTCCATTGTTGGGGAACCATTGACCATGATCGACGCACAGGATGAAGAAAGGCAACCTCTGATCCATGAGCGCCATTTGTTGTTGAATCCCATCTGAAGTAGAACAGAATCTAAGTATTCCCAATTGATTGAATCAAAGGCTTTGTCGAAATCAACTTTGAATAGGGGGGCCTTCTTTTTTACATGTTTCGCCCAAGCATATACCTCATTTATTATTAAAGGCCCATCTAGAATGTTACACCCCTCCATGTATGTTGATTGAACCTCCCAAATGACACTGCCAATCACCTGTTTTATTCTAGTAGCTAAGATCTTTGTGATTATTTTATACAAACACCCGATTAGACTTATTGTCCGGTAGTCTTCAAGCGTTGATGGATCCTTAACTTTTGGGGCTAGGGTAATAAAAGATGAGTTACATCCATGGCCTAAGAATCCATATTCTTCAAAGTGTCTTATAAAGTTCATGATGTCAACATGTACTGTGTGCCAATATTTTTTTTTATGAATTTGAGAGTTAATCCCTCGGCGCAGGTGCTTTATCACTATCGCAAGCCCAAACAGCTGATTTGATTTCTTCAAGGGTGATCGGGGCTTCTAGACGAATTACATTCATCATGGAGATTGAATGAATACGTTGGTTGATCAACTTAGGTCTAGAAACCCACCGATCCTTGAATTTGTTTTTGAAAAATCTTAAAGCTTCGTCTCTGATGTCTTTTACTTCTGTCATCCATCTCCTGTTAACCATTAGACCTATGAATTTGTTTTTCCTTATGTTGTTATTTATGAATCCATGAAAGAACTTTGTGTTTTAGTCCCCATCGATAGTCCATTTCACACGTGACTTCTATTTTAGATCCATAACCGCAACTTTCTCGAGTTCAAGTATCTTTTGAATGCCATTGCTCAGGGTTGTCAATCCTTCATTGGTTAGGGTCCAAGTTTCAGCTATCTTCTCAATGTTGTAACACAGTGTCTTTTAGCTGCATTAGTTCCTTTTTTTTTTTTTTTATTATTTTTTTTGTGTGTGTTCTTCACATCTCCATTTCTTTATCTCCTCTTTTACATGTTTTAATTTTGCTGCTAGATGTGTCTGTTGTACCATATCCATCGAAACTTCTTCAAGCAATACATACAATTCCATCAAAATTCCATTTAACAGAAGCCATGAATTATAGAGTTTGAAAGGGGGGGGAGGGGGGACAAAATCTGACTTTGGAATTTAAAGTTAATAAATTACATAATACTTTCAGTATATATATATAATATATATATATATATATATATATATATATATATATATATATATATATATATATATATATCAATATTTTAATTGCATTATATAGACTTTCACCCGTGATATATTGTTTAAAAAACACACTATCTTATTTTAATCTATATAAATCTTTTTTATTTTAAATAATAACACAAATATACAATTATATATTAATCGTGTCGCTTTAAAAGTTTCGACTTCTAACTACAATGAATTTAGACTTGTTCTTATGTGTACCGGAACAACATGCAACACAAGTGGCATTCCTGCTGCCCCAGCCCCAATTTCCAGAAAAGCAAGTAAAGGACCATAATACCCTTCTAAAGATATTCACAAGTTACATTTATATATTGTCTCTATACAAACTGCCAACTAGTACACATAAAAGTAAAACCTTTGTGTCCCACAAAGAGGGGTCTAAATAAAACGAATTACTCGGTTTTGGCTTGTTAAATGTTTAATTCAAGCTCAAGCTTTAACTCAAAAGTCGTTGAATAACTTACGTTTTAATTAATTAGCCAGAATTAATTTTTAAGCCCTTTCAATAAAGTCGAAGTGGGAATCTCTCAGCTTCAAATATTAAACTCGCGTTTGAGAATCTGTTTGGTTTAGATGGGAGTGAACAAAATTTATTTAGAAAACAAACAAAACAAACAAAGGAGACATTAATGAGTTACAAATTAACTGATTTGAATTTGAAGTGATGGTTTTTAGAAGAATGAATTAATGAAATGTTGCATGTGAGGGGGAAAGTTTGTGAAAAGTTGAAGCCACGTAGAGTTGTTTTTGTGAAGGATAAAGGACAAAATGATCTCTTTCAACTCCTCCAAGTAATAAATGATAGCGACTTTACATCAACTGTCCCATACTTAAGCCAAGCCAAACTCACTATCACTCTCTTCCCTTCACATTCAACCATCAAAAGCTAACTATCTAGTTGCAATCCAACTAAACCACCTATCTATACATTGTCCTTACTCACAAGATCAAAGAAGTCTTACAATAAAAAGTTTTATATATAGGCCACCTATGAGTCTCCTCCAACGAGGTCAACGTTATAGAGGTAAAATATAATATAATCAAAACAAAAAGGTTATATTTATGTTTGAACCTAGACAACTTCTATGAATTCTCATTTTCTGTCGAGCTGTTGGGGTGCTGCAAAATTTTATATATGAGGTATTGAGGTTTAAAAAGTTCAAAAAATATATATTGTTAGCGTGGAATTTGTCTACATACCTTTTTTTTTATCACTATCTGAACGGTTGTTTGATCAAATTCAGTCGTTTAACCTGGTTCCAACTTTTTAATGGTTAAGATAAAATAATGTTTCTAAACTATTTATAGACACTTCATAGACTTCTAATTCGTCCAGCATTCGTTTAAAAACATATATCAAACATTTAATTTTGGCCGATACCTATATAGTTTCATTTATAGGCTATCCATGTTTTAAACGTACATATTATAATAGGTTTATTCTTATATATACTTATAACGACTAGAGACTATGCATAAAGACATATAAGAAAGTGTGGATTAAAAAAATCACTAGGAAACAGTAGGTTAAGGATCTAAATATTTCCATTCACTTAAACATACTTTTGTGTTCAATCAAAATCCATCTCCTAGGGCTCGTAAGTCGTATCAGCTACCATACCAAAAGTGATTTAAAAAGATAAATACAATTTTGCTATCTGGTTTTAATGTTAGCATGTACAATCATAACTTCATTCTTACACCATGTTTTTAATAACGCAATTATTGTTTCCACATTTATTTATGATTGGACACTTTTTTGTACCGTCTACGTATGTTTACAAACGTAATTATATTATTGTTGACACAAATTTAATTGATGTAATTATTGTGCCTATATTTATTTATAATTAAAATAAATTAGATAATTCTTTGTCCACGTATATTTAAAAAATAAGACTAGTTGTAAAAGCTACTTCTTAACTACAAGTTCGTGTAGCTTAATTACATCGAGGCATAAAATAGGTAATTATATTCTTTTATGTTTTATATAGACACCAATTTAACTTTTGCATCTTTTGGTATAACATTGCTTTACCCATCAAACTTAATTACATCGAGGCATAGAATAGGTAATTAACTAATTATATTCTTTTATTTTTTTATATAGACACCAATTTAACTGCATCTCTTGTTATTACATTGCTAATTTACCCATCAAACTTCTTTTTTGAGCCATTACTCATGCAATTAAGTTGTATGGTACAGTCTTCTGTTTTACGTGTTTAATATAAACAATAACAAAATGTTTTATCTATATTCGGAATACTTTCACTTTCTAGCCCCGAAACTGGTTTTTTTAACATTATGAGTTTAATTAGTTTTTCGGTTTCCAATTATACATAATGCAATTAATAAAAGCAAAGAGTTGAATACATAGACTTATGAAGTCAAAATTTCTAATACAACAAAGAAGATTTTAATTTGAATATCATAATGTATGATAAAAACATCAATCCATGATAAATTTATATCTAATCAACAACACATTTGATTTTAATAGAATAAAAACCAACACCACCACAACCATATACCAAGTTCCATAAAAATTGGGTAATAAAGGGGATAAAATGTAGGCATTGTAAACTATATATAATTGAAATATTTAATCAAATAAATCAAATATGACACAAAATACACCATATATACACAATTTTTATTTGGTTTTTATTTTTAGATTAAAGAAAACCAAAGGACCCTATGTTGTAACAAAAAAAGCCATCCATTTTCTTCAAATTCAGATTTTCAGAAATAATTTTCAACTAGACTGTCTCCAAGCATATATCACCATTATTTTACACCAATTAAAATCCTAAGACACCATATTTCACATTTTAATTTAACATATATACGAATATAATAAAAAAATCGTACTTTATTCTTGTTCTCAAATTACATGTACAATATATGTCAGCCAACAAATCAAAATTAACAATATGTTATTAGCATATTAAATACTTACAAACATAGAATTACTTTATTCTTATCATCGGGTAAAACGTTTAAGACGTTATAGCACGGTTGAAGAAATATATTTTTGTTACTGATATAAATATAAATATAAATCAAGTAACATAAATACCTTAAAATGGATATAAGTTGAGTAATATAAATAAGTAGTTACAATGGATAATTAAAAAGCTACATGTTAATTAATTTAAAAACAATTATAAATGCACTGTTATAATAAATAAAAACATGCACATTATCATATTATACATAAAAAAAAAAAATAATAATACATTATATCACAAATAAATTATGTTGCAATTACCTACTACTGCCCAATCAAAAATCAAGCACAATCATTCACTCCTATTTCCAAAATATTTTATTCTGATTATGAGCTTATCTTGTTTATTAAATTAAAATACTCACTTTATAGATTGATTGATTGTTCACCTAAAGCTTCTCCTACAATTCATGCATTTCTCATCTTAGAATGTGAAAACCTTTATTATATTTTTTTCTCTGATTTGAAAAGCTTTCTAAATTTGTTATTATAAAATACATACATTGAAACAATATTATTAATACTGTTATCGTTGTTACGCATCATACAAATTAAAACACCATATGGACCGTTGATAGTGAACAGCAAAATAGAAGAATCATTAGTAATAACGATAGTGAGTAGAATAATTTCAAGTTGGAATCCAAGCAAGACCTTTTAAATCAAAATTATTGCATGAAAGAATTGTTGAGGCACATACATGTTTAGGGCAACGTTCGAAGGGATCAAGAAATAAACCCTAATGCGGATTTGATTGGACAACACGATGCCACGCAGCCAATCAAGTTTCCATGAAAATTCGGTTTTTAACTAGACAAATTTGAAATATAAACCAGTATTAATTTATTGGATTACCATAGGCTGATCCTGCAAGCAATCCACCACCTGATGATGCATAAACCTCAGATGGGTCAAGCAGCGGTGAAGAAGACGAACCATCCACATTCCTCCCTCCACCACCGCCTCCACCACCACCACCGCCCAGGTGCAATTCCGAAAAATTGGGGATGTTTGAATGATCTCTTGTTTCAACTCCTTGATCATAGAGGAAGCCTTTGAAGACATGTCCACCGATCGTAGCACTAGCTTGGTATGCATATTCATCATCTCCGTCTTCCACCGCCGTCACCCTCACACATTTGAACACCGCCGGAGCACGCACTTGTCCGGGCAATGATTCCTTAAAACTTGCATCTAAAAAATAACCCAAATATAGTTTGCAAACATTCGTAATCTTTGATGATTCGTGGTTTCAAAACACATCGATACAGCTTCAGAATTAAAGAACGTAATTCTATATAAAGATTTTTAAATGGAGGAAGAAAATTAGTTGGATGAATTGATGTATACCTTGATGATGACTGGAACTAGTTTCGAAACTGCGAGGAGGTGTGGTGTTGGAAGTAGAAGTGTGTGAGTTAGTTGTGGTATGAGAAGTGAGGCGAGGCTTTTTAGGACCAGAAGTTGAGGCGGAGGAGACAGTGGCAGCGCCCGTTGATGTCATGAGCTGACGTTCACGGCGGCGAGCGGCGGGTACCCAAGTGCTCTTCACGTGTGTAGCACAATCATACCCTCTACTCTTGCAGCAAGTCCGGCACCGCCGGTGGGTGCAATCTTTTTTTGCCTGATTGCCGCAGTCTTGACAAGTCATGGTGGAACCTGAAGTTGACGTCGACCCACCGCCGCCGACGCTGCCTTGGAGAAACCCATGATCGGAAATCATTGGCTTGTTCAAATAATTATGTGGTTGCGTTTGAGGGTGTTGTTGCCAGAACTGAATACTATAATTACTGTTATTGTTGGTGTTGCTATTTCTACCGCTGCCGCGATTATTCAACATACCTTCTTCAACGTTGAGACAAGGAGTGGTGCTCAAAAGTGGAATAACGCCGACGCCGAGCGCGGTTGCAGCGTTGGCGTTTGCGACAGATGAGTTGATGGAATGATGATCGGAGAGATTATGATGACTGGAAGGAGCAACCACAAACACATCACGAAGACCCAACATGCCCATCTCCGGAAGGCCGTAGTTGATTTGACGAGCGGACGGGGCTGACGACCACATCCCGGTAGATACGCCACCGGCGGTGGCGGGACCGGCATTGAAACCTAAAGAGAGATCCTGATCAGAGGGTCTGAGAGCAGCAGATGAAGAAGGATTAGCAACCCAGTCTGCAAAAGCACCTGAATCTGAAGGCAGCCTACTACTCCTGCTAGTAGCCACAACTGCTAGAATTTGTATCAAAATCTCTCAGAGATTCGTTGACAAAAACCCAAACTTTATTACTTCAAAACCCCAATTCGAATATAGGGTTGAAGAAGATATTATAAGATCTGAGAAAGATCTACAAGTCTGTCTATAGATATTACTATGATGCTGGGTGTGGGGTCTCTGAAATTCTCTTAAACACAAAGAGACTTGCAGACAGAACGAGAGAGAGAAGGAGTGTGTGAGAGAGACTACACGATTACTGCTCTGATACAAAGATTTGCAGTAAGATCAGAGAACACTGCTACTGCAATAAACTACCAAAACATAACAAGGAAGTTGGCTTCTTGCCTTTTCTGAGACAGAAAAAGAAGATTGAAAAAAGAAGAAGGTATTATGTGTTCTTATCTTCGTGGTGTGTTTTTAACTTCAACAGCACCATCATCACCATCGGCTTCTTTGCATAAATCCTTTGTTTTTTTCTTTTGAGTTCTTGGAAAGTGAGAGGTGGGTTTTGGGTTCTCTTTCTTCCTCTCTCCAATAATCACACCAAGAAAAGAGTATAAAGACTTTTGTTCTCTGGTTTTTTGTAATTATTTGGGCTACTACTACTGCTAGTCTACTACTACTTCTGTGCCCTCTTCAGTCTACAAAAGAAACAAAGCCCACCTTCTTCTTTCATGCGCGTGGATAGCTTATGAATGTAAATTCCAAAACTACACCTTCAAATTATGGATCTGGGCATTAAGACCCTTCACACATTGGGTAATTCCGAAGTCACCCTTTTCAATCCTTTCCGTTAGTTCTATAGTCAATACCACTTATATCTAAACAATAAACTTTAGCCTTAGTAACATTTCATCTTTCATTGAATTATCATCAATGAACATATAAATGTGTACGGGATTATGAGTAAATTTCTTCAACCGTTGAAAACATAGCAAAAAAATATATATTCTAGGTGTGACCCACTTAACTATTATTTTAAATCTACTCACTTCTTTTCAAACTTGATATTGAATTGTTTACCATCCAAATATTCATAAAAATGAAAAAAGTTTTATCACAAGTCATTCAAATTCAAGCTATACCCTCCTTGTTGTACATAAGTTCTTACCTAATCATCAATGTCTTGTTTGTGTTTGTTATAATGCGTATGATCCCTTGCTTTTTATTCTACCGGTTCCTACTTAACCATTTGTTACAAGCATGTGTGTATCACTTCATTAAGAATAAGAATTTCACTCTTTTGAGGTCATTCGGCTTCAACCAACAATATTATTAAAACCAAGGTTTTAAATGACGTGAGGCGTGGTGTGGCGGCAAGGTTAAGCCTCAAGCTTAACGAGCCATGACGTTTTTCAAGGCGTGATGTAAGGCGACGATTTTGTATTAATTGATAATTATATTACCATATAAATATAAATGTATATCAAATATAACTACTTTTTAGAAGTGTTATATCAATAACTAATAACAAAAAGTTAACAAAAAACACAATATTTGTATCCCCGATTATTAAAGACAAAACAAAGAGAGAAAAAAATGTGTCTCAAACGAAAAAACTCGTGTCATAACACGCCATAACGCGTCATGGCACGTCATATCACGCATTGTCACGTGTCACGACTAACAGCAACATTATGAGGCTTTTCATAACGGCAAAGTCACGCCTCACGCCAAGACACGCTTTTTAGAACACTGAGTAAAACTAAAAGTTATTAGTCGCGTCCATAGACCTTTAGAAACTTTTCTTATGAGCAGTTTGTTTGGTACCCAAAAAAAACTTTTTTGCAGCGATATCTTACTTACGGCGTCATCTTTTCCGGCAGGATCAAACGCCGGAATAGGTTTTTGTTTTCATTTTTAATAAGGAAAATAAAGTACGAATGGCAGTGTATAAAGATTTTGAATGGATGATTGGAAATAAAAGAGTTGCGAGGATAGGAACTACATCCAATTAACATGGTGTAGAAAGACTGGCGGTGACTTTTTTTTGTCACGGATTTCCCTAAAGACATGGAGGAGAAAGGTTTGTGGAAGTAATTTCAACATTATGGCAAAAAATTAGATGTCAATGTTGCTCAAAAGCTGTCAAAGGTTGGTAGGAAGTTTGCATTTATTCGAATCTTGAAAGTCATAGATGAAAGAAAACTGGAAAAAGAACTTGAGAATATTTGGGTGGGAACTTTCACATTTTTGTCTCTGTTGCTAGAATTAAAAGAGAAATCTAGTTTAATCATAACAATAGGGAAAATTCTGAGCTGGTAGATAAAGAATTGAAGAAGAATTCCAATATGCAAAAGAAGGGGAATATTCATGAACAGGGTGTGTCCTATGCGAAAATTGTTGAAGGTAGTAAAGGATATTTAAGTAAAGCTAGTTTAAGTGAGATCAAGAAAGTAATCCTTTCTACTGGGGACTATAATACACCTGATGATACGATCAAGAAAGTAATCCTTATTAAAGGAGGCTTCTCTTATTTCGAATTTATACACGATGTCTCATGACGTAGGTTTTGATGAAGTGAAGATTAAGTATATTGGAGGGACTTGGGTTTCGGTTGAATTTATGTCCTCAAAAGTATGTATTCGATTCAAGCAAAGTGGTGGGATTAAAAAAAAAACTTCAAGGAATTGTTATCGATGTCAAAGAATGGGTTGTATGGCTTGACATTTAGGGACTATCATTAGTCGTGTGGTCTGTAGCTGCATACAAGAAAGTTGCAGGAATGTATGGGACTGTTATGTTGTGACTTCCTCAATTTTACAGTCAGAAAAGACCAATTTTTTTATGCTTTATTTGAAAATCAGAGTATCTTTGTAAAGAAAAAGGTTATGGAATTTGTTCCCAAAAATATGATAAATATTATATTAAAACCTTAGGATGTAACTGTCAATACAGATCAAAGCATAAATAGAAACAACATAGACCTTACAACATTTATTTATTTCTACTTGCCTATAATCCATAATCCCTTATCCGATCATCTCAGCTATTCTCTTGTGCCACTACCTGTAATACAAGAAACTGAGTGAGTTAGGCTTGGTAGCCTGGTGAGTATATAGGGTATTCAACCCACAATAAATAATTTATTAATTTCATCAAATCAATAAACCCGATTACCCGTTCTCGTTATCCTCATTTTATATCCCTAAAGCATCTATCATAAAGAACATATCCTAAGGATTTTCAGACACTACTGCTAAGGGGGTTCCTCAGCAATAATTATCCGTAAGGCAACCATGAAGTGGATGGAGTACACCAGTGAGCATATCATTCACAAACACCTATAGGTTGCGAGTGTTCCATTAAACTGTCTAGAATAGTCATGGTCGTCATCTATACTCCGCTAGATGACTGGTAGTATGTCCATTCCTGTTGCACCTAAAACAGTGTAACAGACGGCAACTACCCAGATGATGAAAGCTACACTCATAGCATTTTGGTAGGCTTCCAGCATATTGCTTGGATGGTGTGGGAACAATCGGGACACCAGAAGGAATGGTAGTAGGAGGTGCAGATGTAGTAGCTGTGAAGGTCGTTACCGGTGGTTGTTTCTTATTCGCCCCTCGAAGTGATTTGTCCTTCTTTTTGGCCCAAAACTTCCGTTTGCTACTCTTGGTCCTGACACTCGGGGGTATCGTGGTGGTTTGTTTCTCGTCGAGGTATTGGTTTGTTAATTGGATTGGCATTGTTGTTAACAACTCCACTAACATTCGCATCGTTGGCGTGAAGGTGGGTCAGAATAGCTGACACGGCAGCCGAGACTGCAGCTTGAAAGGTAGCTGCATCAATCTGGAGGGTTGGTGCTTGGTTGATGGGTTGCTCATCCTTCTTTGGCGACATGATTCTGTAATACGAAAATAAGGAATTTGTGAGCGATTCTGGTTGACCCTGATGTACTTAGATTGTTCATGTAAAGAGTAGAAGTATGTTCTCGAAAGTTGGGCCTACATCCCCATGATGCAGTCTTAGTCACGGGTGGAAGTAAGTTCGTAGAATGGTCTCAAGATGTTTGTCGTTCGAGCTGAGGTATCGTGGGTTGGTGAATAACAAGATCCAACCACTGAAAGAGACTTGGAAGTGTCTCCGGAGATAAATCGCTATAGTCCAATGATTTGACTAAAGCATGATTCAGATAGACTCTTATTAATGAATGACAAGAGTACTCGAATGAAGAATGACACAGAAGTTAGCCGGCTGTCAATATCTGTGATATTTACGATGTAAAGATTCTGGAAACTGACCTTATGAAGGTCTTACATCATATCCAGAGAAGATAGTCTTGACAGCATAAAGACCTAACTAAAGTACTTACGGTACAGGATAATTTCATAGGGAAATGCCACATCGGGCATAGACAGAAAACACGATTCCTTTTTATAAGGAAAAATTAAAGTAACGAGTCTACTACTGGCGACGGTCAACCCCTCTGGTGAACTCGTAGTTCAACCAATTGACGTTCCCTGTCAAGTAGGTGCCTTTCACGCACCATCTGGCGTACTCGGAGTTCTAAGACTTCGGCTCGTGATTCAGCCATTGCTTGCAGCAGGGTTTCATGGCTTCTATCTGATCTCTCGTGTGAATCTCCTAGATGAATGGTGTGGAGGGTATGCATTCTAGCATAGGCGAGAACTTTTGTAATCTGATGTAGGGCTGTCCTGCTTTGAATCTCATTTCGGGCCACTCTGCGGACCAAGATTGGCAAGACTATATCTGCTAAGCCCTCATTGCTCAAGTCGTAAAAGCTTCGGTCACCATCAATTAGCATAAACTGATCTTGTCCTTGGCTCCATATTTCCAAGCATTCCACTCACTCAGGGTCGGGCCATGAAAAGCCGGAAGAGGGTTAGGAATTGGAAAGGAAGCTGCTCGGGGTAGGTTTTCAACCTCTGCTTCGGGGTTAGCATCATACGAAAAGTCTTCATCGTGGTGATCATTCAAGGGGAAAAGAATGATCATTCTCTGGTTATTCTCCAAACCAACCAGCTATGACTTCATTCGGAAGGTACTGGTTGCCAAGGGGATGGAGTCCGGCTATGATTTCTATGCGAGAATTTAGGGTAAAAGAATAATTATTAGACAAACTATCTAGATAATTATTTAGAAAATCTTCATTAGTTACATCGCTATTTGTGAAGTGCATACCAGCTATGTGTAATCTAAACAGGATAGACCTTCGAATAAGTGACCTTAATTCCAAATTCACACAGAATAGGGGTAAGGCAAAATTATCACTGATTCTAAGTCTATAACATCCTAATTACATGTAGCCTTAGTGTATCCACTTAGCAACTATCAACTTAGTAATGAAGATCCCATTTTAACTCTCAAGTATAAAGTACTTATAGTAACACCAAATACACCTATAGTATTTAAATTTTAATGTTATGTTCTATTGTTCTCATTGTGGTAGGGTTGGTAAGATTTTAGCATTGTTGCAACCACACACCTAAACTTAGGCACATGCTAGTCAACCCTCGGATAATATAGGTGATCAGACTATATCTTCCCAGTTTTGACCATATGTCTCTAAGCCCACTTGTGTTGCCCAACAATCGTAATTCTTTTGTACTGTCCTAGTGACACTGATTTTAGTATGAATGCAGCACGTATACTCACTTAAATATTTTACTATTTAAAGTATAAACTCTTGGTCAGAGTATTTTTTTAATCCCG